GATGAATAAATTTTTCCTCTGTTTGGTTCTTATTCTATAATGAGATATTCTTGCCTGATTCTTCTGATGCCATCCATTCACTGATCCAAAGACTGTGAAAAAGCATTCTCTTCTATCTGTATTGTGGTGACACAGTACAATCCCAAAATGCCAGAGCACATCCCATACATCAGAGGCTGGAGCATAGAGGATTTACAGGAAAAACAGGGATGGCAGGCAGACACTGCGCTTTATTTGCACAGTGTCACGTTTGGGTACTTGCGCAGTCTGTGCTGTGAATCACATGCCTACTGTAACTTGGTTCCTCCTCTGCCCAACCTTGCCCAGAAGCAAGGCGAGTGACTACGAAGTAACAACAGTGGTGAAAGAGGAAGCAGGGAAGAAGAAGGAAATTTGAGTTGCACAAGTAGAATAATGGAAAGGGGGAAATGCATGATGACATGGGTGAACAGGCTGGGGACAGTGAAATCTGAAATGGACAGGGTGGGTGACTGAAGAGTTGTCCACAGGGTGGCTGTGGGAAGAGGGGGCACAGTCCCTGCAGGATGTAGTGCAAACACAAGTCTGACTATTGAGACTCTTGGGGCTTGTTTTGTAGATTCAGCGACTAAAGTTACACTATTTGACATCTCCACTCAGGTGGTTCTTACCAGCTCCTGCTGCTGCCCTCCTGCCTCCCCACAGCCTCCTCCTATCCTGATTGGAGAGGCAAGTTATGCTGGTCCTGCCAACCAAAAACCAGTTACTACTCACCAGACAGCTCCAGTTCCTGGGGACCAGCTGAACAATCCTGGAGTCACAGCTGTGCCACGTGCTGCTGAGCCACTGCTCTGCTGCACCTCGGAGACGGACACACTTCACACGGTGACAGTAATAGTCTTTCAGATAAAAATGAGGTTTACAAGAAGGAAAAAAATACTTTATATTAACTCAAGGCGCCTGAATGAAAGATGAGGAACACTTTTTAACCAGCAGCCAGATGGCTCTACATGCCCTGTTCTTTAAACCCTCTATCAGCTTTCCATCCCAGAGACTGTCAGTCAAACAGCAGGCCCTGGAAATTTCTTACCATCTCTCCAGCAGGATATTTTTGTATAGAGATCTTGCTGGTGGGTTTGAAAACTTTATGTAAGGAGCTTCATTTACTACAACCAGACTTGCTTCACTAAGGAATATAGGACAGAACATTTTGTTTCACACAGAAGACGCCCCTTTGTGGTTGCAGTATTAAGATTCTCTCCCCTTTCTTACCTAAAAGAATATTAAAAACTAATCACTCCTTAAAGGAAATATAAATTAGTTTCTTTGGGCCCCCTTATGTCTGTCACAAACACAACCTTCCAGATCTTATTTGCCCTTTGGCATTTATGCTTTTGTGACAAGCTTTCTTGCAGCAGCACAGATAGCAGTTTCCTTGACCTGCTAGTGCTAGAAACCTGTTCAAGAGAAGCTGCTGAAGACCTCTTCTGAGGCTCAGTCCTGGCACGAAATCACACGCAGCACTGCAATTGTTCCCATGCCATCAGGAATGAAGGACAATACAGCCATCCACCAGACCACACATACACAAAATTATCTTTCTTCTTCTTAGAGAATCATAGTCACAAGCATCTTCTGCTCTGCACCTCTGCAAGGCAACTGACGCGTGTGACTTAGACATGAAGCATTTGTAGCAACACTCAGTGTCGATTCCAGAAGCTCCAGATTTTAAGGCCCACAGGAATCCTCTCTCCCCACCTCCTGCATGGCACAAGCCAAACAATTCCCCCCATGATTCCTGGGGAGAATCTCCATCTGAGTCCAAGCACCTGCACAGTCATATCTTCTCATTGCATCGAAGCAGTTGTGCACTTATTCTGATGGTTAACTATCCCTTTGTCATTATGACTCATTTTAACATCAAATTGTCATGGGTTGCTACTCTGCGCTGGCCTGCTACACTGAACACCCATCAAGTTCATGTTTACTCCAGAGAAAGCAACTCACTTTGATAATTTCTACTACTGGAGAGCTCAATTTTTCTCTTGCATGGGCCTCTAATGTTTTTTTTCGAACAAAATGGATACTATAATGGCTTTGTTTTGTTCTGTATTTTTTATAGAAACACTTTATTGCTGCAGTCAATAACCCTGTGTATCACACACAAATAACCAATTACAGTTTAAGAAACTAAAAATAATTCTGCAAGTGATAATACTGAGAAAATGAGCATACACGAAAGGATACAAAACTATACATTTAAGTTACTAGAAATTTACTAACTAAAAAATTCTGCAGAAGTGTAAAGTGTCTTGTATAAACTATACAACACATGCCAGTGTAAAGTTGTTTAACGTTATACAATTACCTATCTACAAATGTTTTACCTAAGTACAAGATCAGCTGCAATTTTTTTAAACAGTTATCTTCTATACAAAGACAAGTGCTTTCAGTACTTCATTGGAATATACAGACACTGCAATATCTCAAACCTAAAAAATAATCACAAAATAAAAGGTCCTGTTTAGAAGTTTTCTTTGCATATCTAATATAATACTGTGAAAATCCAGCCAGCAATATTCTTGTTTGTATTTGCCCTGTTTCACCCATATCTGAGATGAATCCAACCCAGAATCACCAACCTCCCTTTCACTGCTGGCCACGATCTCCACAGCAAACTAGACCAGAAATCTGTATCTTAACACACCTCAGCTTTAGCAGAAATTTGGACCTGGGTCCCACTTTTTCACAGATACTTACCCAGCCAAACACAGGACAGAAGCAACCAGCCCCCGTGTGTGGTCATACCCATGCATCATGAGTGGCATGCCAAGCACCCCCACACACACTTCCTCTTCCTTACAGCACTGCCACAAATGGGACTGATGCCTGATTAGTACAGGAGGTTGGCAGAAGATGGCTTGGACAGGGAGTTACTATTGCTTCCCAGAATTTCCCAGCACAGAGGCCCAACATTTCTCTTAACCCTCAGCCCGCCCACTGTAATCTTTGCTGAATCCCTCCTGCTGAAGCAAAACCAATCTCAATGACATTCAACCAGAGGAAGCTGTCCCCAGGTCTGGCCATCTCTTCAGAACACAGGGCAACATTTTAAACACCATCCCTGCTCCCAAAATACAGGGTTACACAGTTGAAAAAGTCCTGAGAATTTCAAAGAATTTAACATCTCATGATCTTTTACACAGGATCAACCTTCTGCAGCACATGCCTCTATTTCTAACATAATGCATGTTCATGACCTGGCAGATACTCCAAATATGACATGGCAGGGAAATTTCCTTGGCATAGCTGGCATGTTGACAGGATTTAAATCAATAGAATGGGAGTCTGGTCAGATGTCTTGAGGCGTATTAGCAAAGGCTCTGGCAACCTAGGGAAGGGATAGTGGTAAGTGGTATTAAGCCTATATCCCCTCCTACTTAAATTCTGGTCTCAGAAAAGTCCCAGGTAACTCAAACTAACTTTGGGCAAGGAACATGGAATAAAAACATTCTGACTTCTATTTCAGTCATTTTGAAAGCTGCCAGAAGGAAGTGCTGGAGAGCCTGACCTAGAGTGGATGGTTGGTCCCCTTATTGAGGGGAAGGATGGAGCTCACCTGAGCTAGCATCAGTGCCTCACAGCTGGAAGCTGAAAACAAGTCAACAGAATCTTCTTGAGGAGAAGGAAGGAAAAAGTGTCACTCAGACTTCTTACACCATTTGACAGCACCATGCAGAAGCAGAGAACTGCAGCTCCAGAAGCCCACAGTTAACAACAAGCAAGAATTCAGCACGAAAAGTCTGACTAGCATAAATGAAAACCCCTGACAGATGTATCTCTTCTGCAGCCCCTCCTGGTATGAGCATCCCTAAGCAGCATAGAGAGTTTAAATATTAGGTCTTAACTTCCGTTCAGAAAGGCCTGCTGGGAGAGGGTATGGTTAGCAGCAACACTGGCTAAAAGAGTTTCATCTGCAAATATTTTTCTCCAGATGATTTTGCTGGAGATGATTTTTCTTCCCAAGTTAAGATACACAGGGGCACAGCAAAAACCTCCAGTACCCTGAACACACTGAACACTGCTTGGCATGTGTCACATGGAGATGCCAAAACACCAAATGAGATTTCACGGTGTTTCACCATGAATCATAAATGACTGACTGAAACAGGACCAGCACATTACACTACGCCACACTGGCACTTGTCAAGAACATTGGTCAGACTCCAGTGCCTCTTGGGTGTGAGCTGGAGAACAAGCAGGTTTCATAACAGAACTTGTCCATTTTCATTTCACTTACTGGCCACAGATCGGTTGAGAACAGGTACAGCATCAGTCGGCAGCTGATTCTGTGGCTCTTGCAGCTGTAACATGAGCATCTTGCAGACACGTAAGCCTTGTACACTCAGGCATTTCAGAAGAACATGATGAAGGTGTGCAAGACCCGATATTTCACCCACCTGAGTTTATCTAGTGATTTTTTTCACAAAACAAAATAGAAAACAAAACAAGTCAGTGTGTTATCTGTGTTCTCATAATAGAAGATCACCCATAGCAGAGTTCAGGAAAGGACCCGAGTAATTGCACTTTAAATTATGGCAGGCACAGGCAACAAACTCTACCTATGTCTGGTCACGAAGACTGCTGCCCCGAGACCAGTAGGGTACGCAGGGTTTGTCTGCCTGTATCATGTAAGCATGGGACATCCTGACACCTAGCACAGTACACAAACCCACGCCAGTGCAGCTTTGCTAGGACTGCCTAGAGGTCCGGGTATTCTCAAGAACAAGGTACTGTGTTCTTCATCAAGATCCCAGTCAATAAGCTTCAAACATGAGATCATGCAGAGGCACGCATGCACACACACACTCTTCCTCTAACAGCTCTTAGAAACTACTCGTGTGTTCTCTTACCACAGTCTTTTCTCTGCCTGCTCTTAAGAAATTAATTTAGAAATAAATTAATATTACATTTGAAGAAAAAAACCCCACAGTTCCTTTACTGTTATTCTTTGGGAAGTCTTAAAACAACTATTTTTATTATGAAAAGAACTTGCTCAAAGAAAGTTGTATGTGAAAAAGACTAAGTAAAACCTGAACCAGAGCTGAAGATTTAATTCAGTATCTCGATATGTAAACAGAAGCTTTTACCTAACTGAAAAGTCCAGGCAACACTTACTAGGACCAACCAGAAGATTACCACTGACTTTTACATAGATTTAGATAGGGCTCAGGTACAGAAAAGTCAGCTTTCAAATGCAGAGGCCCCGTGTGCTGACTTTTCGTGGGGCTTTGTTTCTGCTCCAGTCGTACTGAAACTTTGGTTAAATGAGGGCTTGAAGCAGGACAGGGTTGCAGTGACGGGGATTGGTCAAGCAAATGAACTGACACCCCAGGCTGTGGGCAACTCTGTCTAAAGCCCTGCACACAGATTTTAAAGCTGTTCCTCTCTTTTCATTGAGGCTGACTGATTAAAAAGCCAATTTCACACTCAAAAGCATAGACAAAACTGCTTTCTGACCACGTAATGTACCACATCAGACCTAAAGCCATGCAGGTGTTTTTAAACTCATCCACTTAACACAACATTTACTTCCTAGACTCTGATCTCAGCATCTCCTCTGACAATGTCAAATTCCTGGATAATTCACACATCACTAGAGAAGTACACAGCACTAGAAAAGGAAAACCAATTCCAGCTGTATTGACTAGCATCTTTTTTCCCCGTCACAACTCACATTTTTACCAATACAGCAACAAAACCTTTGCCAATGGTTTGGAATGAAAATTACACCAGGTATATATATGCAGGTGTGTTGATAGTCTGACCTGCTAAAAAAACCAAAAAAACCCCCCAAAACCCCCACCCAATTCCCAGAACAGAGCACTGAAACCATCAGGCATTGAAAATGAACACTGTACATATCCACTACTCTCCATACACAAGTCACAAGTGCAATATCCTTTGAAAAAAATTGTTCCTCAAAGGAAACCCGAAGAGGCAGAGTTTTTTTAGTGTTATGTTTAGTAAGATAATGCGAGAATGTGTTGGAAATCACAGGTTGGATTTTTTTAAATTTTTTTTTATAAGGCAAGAGGTTTATGTTCCAGAAGAGTAGATGGGGTAAAGAATGAAGAAATGTTTTGAAAATGACACATTCTTTCAAGTTTCATTTTCATTTGACATACATATTACAAAATAAAGGTTTTTAAAAGTGCTATATGCTTCATAAGTCTCATCACAATATGTAATGCAAAATTTTACACCTGCTGCCTAAGACAAAATGTTAGTGGCAGTGTTAGCAGTAGATTAGACTTTCCCATTTCCCTCCGTGTCTGGGACAACCTCCTTCATCACACTTAAAGAGCAGACAAACAAGGAAACAAAACCCCACTCTACATATATTCCACAATAATTTTGAGTCGTCTTCTTAAGTAACAGACTCCATGAAGTTGACGACAGTTCACTAGCGGCTTGCTTGACACCAAACCCAAGGCTCCTTCTAACGAGTATCCTGTGCTCTTTGACCAGCCAGTACAAGAGACAAAACGTTGAGAGGTATGCAACCATGATGACATTGACAGATATGCCCAAAGGGATTTAAAAAAATTCCAACAAAAAACAAATGTAAAAAAATTCATCCACCAGCCCTCAGCTGTTAGCCGATTTTAAAAAGGTAGAGCAGTTTGCAGTAAACAATGATGTTTTAAATCTTCAAGGACATACAGAAACACCCCTCCCACCCAGCAATCACACGTGAAGGATTTCTGCAGCACAGTCTTCTGGCTCTGTGTAATGTGAAGAGTTTGTGTCTGAATGGTGAACTCCAAGCATTTCTTTACTTTCAAAGTTTGGCTCCATTAGTGCAGGTTTTTCAAAAATATTCTTTTTGCTAGTTTCTGGACAGTTTTGTACATATATTACTCGGTTATATGCTTTAAGTCTCTTCCACAGCTGTACGTACACTTTGCATTGTACATACATGAACAGAAGTCCTCCAGTGAAACCAATAGCCACAACCACCAGCTTAGTCCAAAATGGCCACTCTAGAATCCCTGTAAGAAAGAAAATTAAAAAATGAAAGAAGGACTGGGTCAGTATCTACTGGACTACATTGGATCTCTCAAAAATGTCCTTTAAGGAAACTGTCACAGAGCTTAGGCCATGCAAACTGTTCTAATTTTGCAATTTTTCTGGTTTAACCTTTGCCCTCCCTTCCCCCCCCTTCAAGTCAAACACATGCAGACTTCTAATTCACCGATCACATTTATTCTCACCCACCAGAGGAAAAACAAAACAACTGATCCTTTGTGTCTGAGCCCTTGTGCAGCACAATCACAAACAGAGTCAAGGCAACAGCCAGTAATAAGTTTAGGTCCTTTTACACCTGTTTTTAAATGAAAATTGGATCAGATTACAAAAGGAATTCTAGGGCAGGAGATCCTCTTCACAGCAGGAGACTCAACTCAGTGACCCAAGAAGTCTGTTCCACTCTGTGATCACACAGTACATGGAGCCACAGTCTTTAATCTCAAAAGGGAACACTGTAACCATCTCTCTTGATAGGTTCATTATGCTGACTAGGCAATTTTACCTGCATCAGACCCAGTAACTTGGAGTGGAATTAGAGTGTCTCTTTTGATGCAAAACTGCAGGTGTTCGGCATGCTGAAGAATTCTGGCAAGCTAACCCTCTGTATTAAAAATGACCAGTATTACTTTTCCTGAATTTACCTAGCTTGAACTTTTAGACATTAGATCTTGGAAAAGGCTGAGAGAATTGGGCTTGTTCAGCCTGGAGAAGAGAAGGCTCCAGGGAGACCTTATTGCAGCCTTCCAGTACCTGAAGGGGCTACAAGGAAGCTGGGGGGGACTTTTTACAAGGGCCTGTAGTGACAGGACAAGGGGTAAGGGGTCTAAATTGAAAATGGAGAGGTTTAGATTAGGTATCAGGAAAAAATTCTTCACAGAGAGGGTGGTGAAGCACTGGCACAGGTTGCCCAGAGAAGCTGTGGATGCCCCATCCCTGGAGGTCTTCAAGGCCAGGCTGGATGTGGCTTTGAGCAACCTGGTCTAGTGCAAGGTGTCCCTGGCAGGGGGGCTGGAACTAGATGATCTTTAAGGTCCCTTCCAACCCAAACCATTCTATGATTCTATGATTCTTCAATCACCAGCAAAACATTTTCCAGCTGCATGTCTAGTTGGTATGCAATGCTTTGTGAGCAAGGGCAGCTTGCCTTCTAAGGGGTCCCAACCTTGGTAAATACTCTATCCCTTCTATCCTCACCTTCAGGGACAGCTCAGCTGCCTGAGACAGTTCTGTGACAGCTGAAAATTTGCAGCCCAGCACCCTGGTCAACAGATTTCAGTTTGGTAAGCTTACAGCTGGCATACTAAAGAAAACCCACTATTCAAGAAGTTAAGACATCCTTGCATGGGGGTGGCAGCCACAATATGAATTGCAGTGAACCTCATCTCAGTTGCTTGGCGTCCTAAGAATCAACCTGAATTTCTTCTGCTTCAGACATGACTCAAAAATTTCTGCAGTCTAACACTGCTCTCACAGGAAACTTGTGCTAACCCAACTCACAGGTGACCAAACAGAAAGGAAACCCTCTTGATATACCTCAAAGATTTGGATTTATGTTCCTCTTACTTCTTCTCTTGGTTTTTCTCAGTTAAAAGGTAGCCATAGCAGCAAACAAATGCTTAAGTCCTTATCTGCTCAGTAAGTGTTCCAATTGAAAACTAAATTAGCTAAGGCAGTGCAATTTTATGTCTGGCTACAGTGGATTAGCTCTCCTATCTCTGCATTTCACCAGTGCAAACTAAATTGACTTGAAATAGACTTAAAAGGCACCCACAGATGAATTTACACTGATTTAACCAAGTAATTTTAGAACTGTGCTTTTAAATCAACTCAACCTCAGGCTAAAGCTGGCTAGTCTAGGTATAAACATTTCCTGGACGCTCTTGCTCTGCATCCTCTGTGCATTCAGGGTAAATAATTATTCCAAGAGAATTAAGTGGGAAGATAAGCAAGTAGCATACCAGTAGTCTGTCCCTGTTTAATCTCTTCAGCGGTCCTGTCTATCAGGACATAGAGAGACCACACAACGCAGGTGATGGCAATGATATGGAATGTTACAGAGCACATGATCTTCCTCCTCTCGCTGGCCGTCATCTGCAGCTTCTCCCACTGGCAATACACCCAGAAGCAGAGAAAGAGATTAGGTGTTTATTCTAGTTACCAGAGAGTGTAAAAAGAGAACATTGATAAGAACAAAAACCAGGCAGGAGACCAGTTTCCTCCTTAACATGGATTTTAAAAGTCAGACTGCATTACTGCTCTGACCACAGCATGTGTTCGACAGCAGGCAGCTCACCCTGCTGCGACAGGAGCGGTCCTGGCACCGGAGGGGACCTCCAGCACTCAGCTCCGATCTGAAGCCTCAGCACAATGTCACTGCACCCTGCTTACCCAGGCAGGCGCAACTCCAGCACAGAGGGACCCCAATGCGAGGCCTTGTGCAGCGCAAGCAAGGCTGCTCCTTCGTGTGTTCCCCATTCGACAGCAGGTACCCACAGTCACTGCTGAGCATCGTGAGTGGCAAAAGGTACCCTTGCTCAGGCAGGCATTCAATAAAACGCTGCAATTAAAGTGGTACATGATCCAATTGACCAGTGCATGCAAGACATACCATGCTGAGCTCTGTTAGAGTCCCTCGGTGCACAGTCAAGGCTGTTCAGCTCTCAGCTCAAGGCTGTTTAGTTCTCACCTCCTACCTCTGGGTGTTTTATTCAATCTTCACATATATTTAACACTACTTACAGCAGCAACACCAATATTTTATTTTCAGTGTTTGAAGTGCACTTAAATACATGTGCCCTAAGAACATCCAGTAGAACTGGGATGACAGTTTTTGTAAGTGAGAGGATGCAGCAAATTAAATCATCAGACCTGCATCTATCAATAATGTTTATACAGCCCAAACAGAAATCACAAAGTCAGGTTGTTGTCATTTAGAAAAGAGAAAAAGAAAATACAAAATCATTATAGATGCTTCTAATATGCAAGGAATCAATCAAAACCAGCTTTTTTTTTTTTTTTTTACCCTGAGATATCTGGAAGCTTTTTTTACCTTTTTTTTTTTCCCCTCCCATGTACATGATGAAAGTTTTTGCATGGGGGTTACACATCCCTCAGCATATCTGTTTGGACCAGAGAGTTAAGGTGGGCTTTCCTCACAGCTTCACAAAATATATGCTGGGGCATGTAAGCTTCTTATATATATCTATGTGTTTCTAGAGAGGTGCATTTGGTGTCTCCTAGAATAATTTAGAGAAAAAGAGGACTTTGAAAAGGAGGAATAATGTGGAAGAGAGTAGGATGACCTGACTGGTATGGCTGAGATCACCTATTATGTGAATTATTATTTCCACTGCTACAAATACAAAAATGTTGAACTCTGAAACAGAGACTTTGTGATCCTCTCTGTATTGCCAACCATCTCTTTGGCCAGTCCCTCCAGTTCTGTGGGCATCCAAATTTTATCATGGCACAAATATTGATGACTTCGAGCAATGACAAGCTAGACTCATGTCATGCTAGAAAGCTGTATTCTTTCAATCTTCTTACAAAAAAATTGAACATAACATTCCCTTTGGATATTATGTTTTAAAAAGAAAATTGCTTTTGCATCTGAACAAAGGTGTTTACTTTTGATAGAAAGTATAAATAAATTGATTTACTTTGTTAAAACATAAGCATGTGAAATCTGTTTGAGAACGCTGTTAAGAGGCACAAGAACCTGTGTTTTGACTAATTTATGTTTCTCTTTTCTGTTCCATAGCTTGAGCTCTTTGACTGGACAGTATCTCCTGTGAACTTCTGGCTCCACAGCCACCAACCCAACCCATACCATCTCATCTCTTCCAGAGATATGACTGCACAGCAAAAGAGAAGATATTCTGCAAACTATGCACTAGCCCAGGCAGGAAACTAGAGTCTGTAGGTCCCTCTGCATTATTCCGATGACACAGCATGTGGCATTTCCCAATTAAAATAGTCAGCATTTCTGAATTTTTGAATTGTTGTTAAAACAAAAACATCAGCAGAAAATTTAATTTATCATCTTTTTCTCCATTGAAATTTTAAAACAGACCACACCTCTCGTTTCCCCTCATCTTCACTAAAGCTGTGACACATTTTTTCCTCATCCTCTTCCCGTAGTAACTTAGTGTTTGAACAGACCAATACACTGTACTGCAATACAGCCTTAAAATACTGAAGATGTTTAATTCCATTTCTAACCTACAGTCAAGCACAAGTCCTATTATTTGTCCCATCCTGTTAACAATCACCAGTTCCAGACTGTTTTCTCCTGACTGACAAGTTACCAAAAAGGCTGAGTTGAAGATACAGAGGCAACTTATCATCTGGCTGCAGCTGAACCTCTAGAAGACTCTTCAGATATATTTCAGAAGTAAATCCTTCTTCTTCCTCACTCTATGGCTCTGTCCTACTTTCTGGCATCTGGTCTCTTTCCCCACATGACCTGTTCACATATAACTAATGATGCTGAGTGACTCATTTCTGAAGGTGCCCAACAGCTTTTTCTCACAGGGCACAAATATTCAGAAAATGCTTCCCGCCCACTCCAGGCAGAATGAGCACAGCAAAAACAGCAGCCAACTGCCAACTATAGCAACTCTTTTTACTTGGGATTCTCTAGAGTAATTTCTTCAATGTCCTATGGCTGAGCTGTGCAAGTGTTTTCTTTGCATATAACAGAGCCCATGACAGCCAATGCTGCAGCTCAGAGCTGCTACGCTCTGTGCCAAGGGGTTACCAAAGAAAAATCTGCACTTCTTAGAAGCCAGTAATTTGCTGCAGCCATGTCCAAAGGTCATCCTTTGGACATGGACTGGACATGCTAAGCTATATACTTCGCTGACTGTACATCTCTATAAAAATTGAAAAGGTATTTGAAATCTGCTCTATTTTCTGTTAGAAGTCACTTTCAGGAATCAGACAATTTCTTATAGGATTTCAGATGGCTGCAGCCCAGACTTCCCATCCTACATGATTTAGGCTCATCATAATTGAATTTAATGTTTCTCATTTATTCTAGTTCCAGACTGAGGTTATTGTTATTAACCTCTTCCACTTTGTTAGAGGTGGCAAGATTTGTCTGTGCTAAGAATACCAGTGACTTCCATTTCAAAATCCTAATGTTAAGGACCAATTGAAATTGAAAGCCTAGAGGATATGGGACAACAAAAAGGATACAAGCACAAAACTGGCCTTACAATACAAGTAGCATTTAACTACCTATACTTTAAGCCACCACATTTATAAAAGATACTTTTCTATAAACCAAAGGTACAGGTTCTAGCAACCTGAAATACTAAACTCTAGTCATTCGCAGTCTAAGAAAAGGTAAAAGTTAAAAGAAATTTATTGATGAACCTTCTTCTACTTACACTGCACTATTTTCACTAAGATACGTTCGCTCTTTTAAAAAGAAAAAAGCTACACTTTTAAGCCAAATTACACTCAGAAAGCGTGATTTAAAGGAATTTTAACCCTTAATTCTCATATTTTCAAAAGACCTTAAAAGCCATGTGGATCTCAGAGCAGCAAACTAAACCAAACAAAATTCCATTATTTAAAAAAATGTGGGTAACTGCAGAGCAAATACCTTTGTGCATAAGCTCTAAAATGTAATGGTAAAGAAAAAAAACATCAGTTGCTGCATGCACATATGTCTGTGTGTGTGTGTGTACGTACATACACTTACACACGGAGAGCTGCCAGGCTACAGTAGCTAACTCTCAGAGCCGGATTCCACTGATGCTGAATTTGCCGGGCCAAGTGTTAATTTAAATCCTTTTGCACCTATACAAAACTGACCAGAATTACTAAAGAGCCACAGAAAAAGGGTAAATATGTGGGGGGTGCTGTGGGCCCATGGACAAGGACTGCCTCTTTTCAGAGTGGATGTGTGTTTAACAAAGCATTTCCTTGGGGAAGCAGGTCTCGTGCCTACCTTTCGCAAAGGCTTCAGTTTTGTCTCCATGATGAACTCGTACTTGCACAGTTCACAGCATCGCGTATCTGAGCTCTTGATCCATTGCTGCAGGCAGGCTTGGTGCACAAAATGAAGACTTCCTGTGCAGTGACAGGGGGTAATCAAAGGGCTCTCATCATCTCCTTCACAGTGACATATCCTGAATCAGAAGCAAAGCTGCTCATTAGGAGAAGAGGAAGCAGAAAGGATGTGGAAGAGGCATGTAATATCTGTGATCACACATGGTTGTCCATTGAGGATCCTGAGACATACATATCAAAAGAATGTGTTCCATAAAGGAGCTAACGCTAAAGAACTCCCTTGCTGTGCAAGCACATACACAGGCACAAAATAATTGAGCACAGACACTGCTAACTAGACAGCTGCTTTCCAACAGATGAGGCGGACACACAGAGCCTGACAGAAATGCAGTATCCAAAAGAAAAAAAACAGGGTAAGAAATGCCAACACTTCCTCTAGGACAATAGCACTTAACTGAAAAAAGCATTTGAACACATCAGACAGCGCTTCCCAAGACAAAATATGCAGAGAGACGTACAGCTACTCATGGATTACGATCTGAAACAGAAGATAAAATTCCCAAAACACTGGTGAAGTAGCCCACCACAGGATTATTAAGAGCTAATTTAGACAGCCTGGATTTTGCACAAGTGATTACTTCTAGTGCCAATTGCTAAGAGACATATCCATGCTGGAAAGCTACAATGCTGAACTCCCCAAAACACACCTTTTCTAAATGGACTAATGGTTTTGCTATCCAATTCTTACTTTGCGAGAGCTGCTAAGGAAGCATCAGCTCTGCAAAATTACCTATTTCCCCTCACAGCTGAACTGTGCAGACAGCAAGGGCACCTGATACAGTGTTACTACCAGGTGCTGGCATTTGATTTCTAGCTTCAATTTATACACAACCCTTGGGTTGCACCAAACATCACTAAGTCCTACTAACCATGTGGAAGAGGTCATGAATTGAAAGGGGGATGGCAAGGAGCTCAGGGAATGAATGTAAGTTACTAAGCATATGTGAAGTACACCCTGGCATGCTGCCATCCCTGTCTATTACTGAAATCTCTTACTGATGTGTAGCATCTTGCCTCTTGCGACCTTGCTGATAGCTGGCAAGTGGAAGTGAAGGAGTGGGTGGATTACAAGAGCGTCTTGTTGATGACAAGCCAGTACGGAACTAGAATTTGCTGGTAATGAGGGGGGAAATCAAATAACACGGGCAAGTAGGAACAAAGCCAGATTCAGAAACTGCTGTCAGGGAGAACAAAGATTAGGATAGTAAAATACTAGGTAAAAGGATTGACATTTGCTCCTGTACTTGGTGACTCCTGTTCCTCAGCCACACTTTGGAGCTGGGATGGGGCAGACCTGCAGACAAGTCACCATGAAGACAGCCCAGAGCTGACTGTTACCACCACCTATGCACATGATTAATCCTCTGTAGCTGGAACAATGACACCCATCCATCCTTTCTGGACTTCACACTATGGCCATCACACAGGCTGACCACTAACATCCAGTGCTCAGATCCCCCTTTTGACTAAGGCATCCAGAAAGCCCTTTACGAATAGAAGTGTGTGGTGGGATATAAACTGTGAGGAAAAGATTTTAAAAAAAAAATAATCTTAAGCTATATTGACCTGATCTTAGAAGCAATATTCAAACATCCTCTTTTCCTCCTGATGCCCCATCCTCTGACCCAAACCAGCAGTGACTGTCAGGACAACACATTGCTCATTAAAAGCTCAGACCTGTTCAGCTTGGCCTTTATTATGCATAGCTGATTCTCTCATGATATTCCCAGTTTGGGCACTGATACAAGAAAAACACTATTTCAGAATCCCAAACCTGAAAGCAAATTGGAAGAGAATTTATTTGACTCCAAAGGAAATTCTTTTGCTTAGTAGCCTTGTTAAGTGCATCAGAGGGATGCAGAACAGCAAAGAGAAGGCTGCATGCTTTGAATCACACATATTAAAGCAAGGTGACAAGGTGAGGGAAAAGACAGAAACAGCACAAAGGCAGGGGAAAGCAGAACGGTCACCACTGCACATGGGAAGGCTCAAAGGGAGGCGGTCCTCTGGTAAACCAACCTGCAGGTATCCCCCGATGTGGACACAGGGGAGAGAGGGGGGAATTTTTCTGAGAGGGGGGAAGGGCAGTCAAGGTCACTGTCCTTCTCAACTGAACAGAGCGGCGCCCGCTGCTCTTTTGTTTTCAGTTTCACTGAGGTGCTGTCCTCAAAGACGTCATCGTCTCCCATATCATCAGAGCAGAAGTCCGTGCTTTCCACCAGCACGCTGGAGGATTTCTCAGCTTGGAAGTGACTGGAATAGCTCTCCAGTTCGTGGAACTTATGCAGGCTGCTGGTGCTGGAGGTGTGGGAGAAGGAAAAAAGGTAACGCAACAGTTTTTTGCTCCTTGAGGTGTCATGGTCCACTTTGTCCTCCAGCAAGGGGATATGTACAGCGCTGTTGTTCTCTGCTCCTCCCGATGCACTCGAGTAGTTGGAAAGGGAAGGGATGTAGGAGTGCTTAGAATTGCTAAAAGGAAGAGGCCTGAGATTCAGCGGTTTCCTCTCTTTAAGATGAAATTTGTTAATCCTTAAACACTGCTCTTGAGTCGGGGTCAATTTGCCTTCTGAGCGTGTTCGCTCCACATAGTCAAAGCACTCACTGGTGCTCTGTGCCTTCTGGTCCACGTCATTGAGGGACTTGGAGAATTTCAGAATGCGGGTGGGCTTTACATTCTTAGCAGACCTGAGTGCCTGGCCCCGATCCTGCCCACGGGAGTTTCTCTTTGCTGCATGTACCTTGTCCTGACAGATTACTGTCACAGTGACCCCTCGTGTCAGAGGGCTCTGGCAGTGAGGATTTTTCAAGACAACAGCAGACTGCACTGGACTGTGATGACAACACTCAGAAAACACTGCACTGGAACTGCATGCAGAACAGTGGAATAAAAGCACAGAAAGTAAAAAAAAACAATTACATAAGAGAACACATATAATTAAAAGTGAAGAAATGAGAATTACTGCTAGTGTGGGAATGGCAAACATAGCAGGGGCCAGTCAGTTGGATTCAACGAAGCAGTGTTAGACAGCAGTCGAGTCAAACAAATAGGACACTTCAAATGGGAACCCCACATTGCTTACTTCCCAATACACATGCTTTTTCATTTTTTTCTTAATCTGAACCTGGCATGAACCTCACTGTAGACATGCAAGCAACACACTTTACCTGCAGATGTCCTGGTTGGAGGGTGTAACAGAAGTCCGAGAGAAGCTATGAGGGGCAGAGATAGAGGTTGGACTTCCAGCCTGCAGTGAAATTCAAACAAACAAAAAACAAGTCACAAGTTGTAGGAGTTTGGTATGGACAGAAATCACCTTCAGGGTTAAACACAGCATATAGAGTCAGATATCACTCTACATCAGATATTTAATGGCTAGTTGCAAGAAAGTGGCTTTACTGTCAAATGCTAAAAAGGGAAGTCGAATAGTCTCATCCTTGGAAAAGTAGTAATCAGAACAGAAACGTTTTTCCCCAAGGTCAAATTCAGCCATCTCTGGAGCAGAACCTGCCAGCTGTCAAACACTGCACAGAACAATAGCTCAGGAAATAAGCAATGCTACAGTAATTACAATAATTAGTTGAAGGTGTTTGTATAGACTAGTCAGAGTTTAGCTACCACATAACAGCTAATCCTTCCACTTACAATGATGCCAAGAGATTAGAGGCTTGAGGGTTTTCTTCACAAGACAGAACCATCAGTAATTCTGTAACTCGGATACTGTTTAGGGACTTATTTTCCATACTAGCACATGCACATGAGCTCTGTCTGCCAAACCAGACCATTCCCTAACGTACTTTTGTACTATGCAAAGCCTTACTCTGTCAGGGTCTTTTACCTACTTGGAGGAGACCCATCAAGAGCACAGTGAGAAACAGCATAACCCGAGAATTCAGCTGAACTAGCTCAAAAAAAAAAAACCCAAACCTAAAATTCTAAGCTTTTGGCATATTTAACACTTACACAACCCTCTAAAATGACTATGGAAAGAACAGTGATTGTCTCAGAGTTGGGACATGATGGCCTATTATTATAGGCCTTTTCTGATGCTATATTCTGTGGGTCACTAACAGAAACCTCTCAACTCTTCCTAGAGGTTTTGGTGAGGAAGAGACCAGCATTGACAACCTTGTAATAGAGAAGTTTTAAATTTGGTTCTCCCGTGTTCCACATCTGCTGGATAAGCTGTGCTGCTCATCCATCACTGCAAAACACTGCTCCAATTTCAAAATTTGTTACAGCTCTTTTGATCCGCAAAGCAAAGCCTGAAAGCCAGGAAGGAACAATGCAATCAGCAGAACAACAGAAATGTCAACATAAAAACCAGCACAGACCTGGGCCAGGCAAGTGCCCAAAGCCAGACTAGGAGAGACCTGAGGTCATGAGAGGTGTGTTGCCTCGGAAGCACACTGCCTAGCCCTGCACTTCAGCTTGAGATGCCAGAGCTAGCTCAGTCTTCACTGCTTTGATGATCTCTGGTCACGGTGCAACACACACGAACTGTATCTGTCTCAGTTCTCTTCAATTCTATACTTAATTTATTAAAAGCCCCTATGGTGTATTTAAGCAAGGCTGCTGCTGGCTTTTACACCCTCAGAACAAAAGTAAGGTGCCTTGTCACACAATATACTCTTCTGTCTTTGCAAGAGAAGATGGGTACACTAGGACACATGCTACGTTATAAATACCAATGCTACTACACACACATGCTACTTTATAAATAGCAATACAACCAGCAGCCTCTACTTTACAGGACTCATCTGTAAAGGTTTTGTTTCTCTAGCCAACAGCACTAAAAAGAGCAATGTGCCTGGCCTCACATTGGGATGCCCCAAGTGTACTGAGTGTGAAAAAACAGCTACCCATTTACAGCTGGGTCTGCAAAAGTAGAGGGCAAGACTCAAACACACACCTCTTGATCCATACCAAGACACTGTCACTTATTACCCACCCTACCCAGCTAGGTACATGTATAGAATAAAACCCAAGGGAATAATCTTGGGCTAGAAAGAAAAATGAACTTTGTTATGACTGTGGCAAAGCAAATGAAAGACTTAAAGACCAATACTGACTTTATCCAGGAAACTGTGGTTCTTTACGCCATGTGTACATGCTAATGATATAGGATGCTGATCATACAATGAAGTGATTAAAGTATTACTTGGAAATTTTCTCTTTATTTGATGTTTAACCTCTCCTAAAAGCAGGTACATCTCTGACTTCAAACCCTACCTTTTAAAAAAAGTTTATGCAGTAGTTACTTTTTTCTAAAGAAAGACTGACAAGTGAGTGAAAGACCTGACACACTATAATCTGCTGCTATAATTATGCAAATGTAAATTAATAAGACTTAAGTAACAAATTATTTAAAAAGACATATTTAGCAATCTTCTAAAAACAAAATATTGAACCAGTAAAACAGCATGTTGCATTCTGCCATGGAAACAGAGCCAGGTATTGTTGGAACTGAAGTCACAAATCAATTGATAAATCTGTCTCAGGCTTTATGTTATGAGCAAATCACAGAAGGTAACCTGCTTATAATGAACCCACTCTTTCTACTCCTTCACTTGAGCAAGGAAGCTGTCAAAAAAAAAAAAAAGCAATATACATGATGTGACAATCTAATAGTAGATGACTAGTTTTCAATGATCCAAAATTTCCTTCCTGAAAGGATGTTTCTTGACCCAATTGCCTGGCACCAAGACAATGCCAAAGTCTCACCGCTTGAGTAATCAAAAGGTTGGGACAAGCAAGAAATTGTGGAATTTCATTTGCATTTCAAGCTCACTATTCTGTTTCCAGAAGTCAGCATTGTTCAGGACAACTTTAAAAAAACCCCACATCTCCCACATTTCCTTTTCCTCATATCTTCTTGCTTCAACACAGGAGGTCCTTTGCTCCATCTTTAGACATAGCGCAAATACAACCAAAACAGGAACAGAAATTAACGTAATTGGAAAGCTCCACAAAGTAGAACAACAAGACATTGGAGGAAGTTATACCCCACCCCCAGTTTAAGCTAAGGTAAACTGTAGTTTCCACCAAAAGCCATGGTTCAACGAGCCTCCAGTCTCTCACTTCACCCTCCTTTCCTCCATGCTTTTTGCTCACGAAACACTTTACATAGCTTCACTGCAAGTCAGATTAGGATAGCGAGGTAAGGTAAAACCAACCACTTTTTTACTAAGCTTGTTTAATGCCAGCCACCTCCCTAGCTTCATCTGCCAGAGAACAAGGAGTTCGTTAGAACAATGAGCTTGTGGTGAGGCACAAGTCACTGTAAGAGAAGAGCACAGTAAAATGCAAGTTGCTGCCAAGAGCCCAAGAAGTAAGTTCTGCCAGTCCTAGAAGTCCACAGCGCTGACAGTGGCTAGTCCATACAGCTCAGCTGGGCTTACTGACTCGGACACAGGAGCTACCAGGCAGAGAGGTGCCACAGAAAAGAAATGCTGGCAGTCTTATCCAGAACAGGGCAAAGAAGAGGCAACGAGGTGTGTGAATGCAAGAGAGGTGGATCCAGCTAACCTGCAGCTTTGACATTTCTCCTATGCAAGCCTCAATCCTGAAGAGGCTGGGAAAATAAGCAATCAAAGCCTTTATCACTCTGGGACACACACCACCCTTAAGCCCCAGCAGCAGCCTCTCAAGTAGCTGCACCTTTGGTTGAACTGGCTGCTTACCGTAGCAACAGCAGCAGTAGGTTTTAAAGCACTCCTTGTCATAGGGGGTTTCTGTCATGCTCGTTATGTGAAGGGGAAACCTAAGCCTTGACAGCCCAAATTCAACCCTTCTAACTCCAGAATCGCTTGCAAAACCTCTGTGGATTTTCACTCCCTTCCCATGGAGGAATATCACCTCCAACAAGTCCTAGGAGCTATGTGCTAGCAAGTTACCCTGTACAGCCAGAGTGATTGCAGAAAATAGCTCAGGACTAAAGGTCAATAGTTAGTTAATTATGAATATTGACATTCCCATCTAATGCAATTCAGTGAGGTCATATAGTGTGGCCTTCTGCATTGGTGTTTAGATAATCACGGCCACTCTGAAGGCAGCACTACCTGCAAGTCTACAACTCCCTGTAGGGTTGCCATCAGGAAGATACCTTTACCCTTATATGCATGAATATATATATACACATATATGTACATATTTTATGTGTGTACACTTGTGCTGCCATAGCTGGTTGTTCTCATTCTGCACCTACTCCATGAATAGCGTGATCTGCTGGTGAAGGAACTCAGCTTTTTCTGATTACCTATTTAAAAATAGAATCTTTTAGGTTGGAAAAGACGTTTAAGATCATCAAGTCCAACCACTAACCTAACTCTGCCAATATCACCACTAAACCATGTCCCTAAACACCTCATCCACTTATCTTCTAAATACCTCCAGGGATGGTGACTCAGCCACCTCCCGGGGCAGCCTGTTCTAATCCCTGATAACCCTTTCAATGAATAAATTTTTCCCAATATCCAGTCTAAACCCCCCCTGGCACAACTTGAGGCCATTTCTACTTGTCCTGTCACTTGTCACCTGGGAGAAGAGACCAACACCCAGCTCTCTGCAACCTCCTTTCAGGCAGCTGTAGAAAGTGATAAGGTCTCTCCTGGACCTCCTCTTCTCCAGGCTAAAAAACTCCAGCCTTTCCTCACAGAACTTGTTCTCTAGACCCTTAGCCAGCTTTGCTGCCCTTCGCTGGACATGCTCCAGCACCTCAATGTCTTTGTGACTACATTCTGCAAACCAAAAAGCAAAAAACCCACCCTGCTTCAGAAAATAAAGTAATCTTTGAGCCATAGTGAACATTTCAATGGAGTGGGTATATTCCAAGATAACCTGCTTATCCGAGATGGCACTTCTAGGTATAGTTGCTGTCGTTTCACTCTGGGCTGCACTTCAGTACTAGCAATTATACCTAATTTTAAAGAACAAGGCTTGTCACATTCTAAAAGCCTTATTAAATTATTCATTGGAGGTAACAAGTTAGAAACAACTGAATTCCAGAAGAATTCCTCCACTGATTGGAAGTCTGAAGGAAGCAAGGAAAGGTTTTCCTCTATACCTGCAAACTTCATCATTTCTAGGTGCCACATGAATCGGACCAATACCGTGGCCCTACTATTTGTGCTACAAAACCACCCAGAGGTCTCAGCTAAGGACCTGGAACTAACATATTAAGCACTATACACCACATTTAATAATGAGGCACATCTCTCCTTTGGGCAGACAAAGAGTTAGAAAAAA